GTTAAAAATGTGCAAAAAGCACTAAAATAACTAAAAATATAGGAAAAAACACGAAATCTACCGCATTCTACCCCCCTTAAAGAGCACGAGTTACGTCCCCGTAACTCAACATACCTCAAACAACTCGGGATACTTCTTTTTCATCTCATCCTCGGCTTCCCAAGGTGCTTCTTCATACTCTTGGTTAGACCATAGCACTTTAACAATCTTAACTTCCTTATTGCTTGTACTACGCACTTTACTGTCAAGAATCTTGACAAGTTTTTCTTCATAAGTTAAGCTTTGATCTAACTCAATAGTTTCAGGTTGTAGCACATGTGACTTATCAGGGATATACCTTCTCAACTAAGATACATGAAATACATCATGCACTTTACTTAGCTCCATAGGTAAGGCTAGCTTGTAAGCTACTTTGCCTATCTTTTGCAATGTTTCATGTAATACCCCGTATTTTTGAAAGGTATTTTAGTCTCGTATTTTGACGTATTTTTCTAAAATAATTATTTTCTAAAGAGTATTTTAGTTTTGGAGCCAAAATGATATTTAAATTTTGGCGCCTAAATCATTTGTCTTATTATTTTACAAAACTAATTAAAATGGATAATCTAATAAATGAAACTATTTTATACCTATGTTATAAATAGTATTTTTGATTTCTCAAAAATTAAATAGATAAACCGAAATTATATTAATTCGGTTAAAATAAATTAATTAAATTAATTTCCTTAAACTAATTAAATTGTATTTTCGGATTTCATATAAAAAAAATCTTAATTGTTTTAATACCTTTCCAAATTAATTATTTTTAGGAAATATACCTATAAATTAATAAAATTATTTTCCTAAACTAATGATATTTTAGGATTTTTCATAATGAAAATCTAATTTTATTTATTTTCATAAAATAAACTAAATAAATGTTATTTTCGGATTTTTACAAAATAAAAATCTGATTTTATTTAATATCCTTCTAAGTAAATTATTTTCATGGAATATATTAATTTTCTAAACTAATTAAATGTTATTTTCGGATTTTTCATAATAAAAATCTGATTTTTATTTAATATCTTGCTAAACTAATTACTTTTATTTAATAAAATAATTTCCTAAACTAATCAAATGGTATTTTTATTTTACATAATAAAAATCTGATTTAATTAATTATTATAGGCCATATTTTCGGCCACCCCAATAATTTAGTAAGAAAATTGATTTTTATTCTTCCAAAAATTATAAACTTTATTGAATCATTAATTTTAGACAAATAACTTATTTTACAAAATCCCTAAACTAACATAAGAGGACCGAAAATATTGAACAATATTTAGCTCAATATTTTCGGCCACTCATGAATTTTCTAAAGGATTTTTAATTTATTTTATTAAAAATAAAATCCTTTAAATTTCCTTATTTCTATTCTTAAATCTAAAAATTATTTGATCCTATTCTATACTTGCACTCCAAGCTCAAAACCTACCAAATTAAATTTCATGATCAAATAAAACAAATATCCTTCCATACATTTAAAACCCTAGTTTCTATTCTTCAAAACTTCCATAAATCATAAACCCTAAATTGTCATAAACCCATCACCTAAACACCTATAAATACCCCCTCATACCTCTCATATTCTTCACACTAAAAACTCGATTCACTTCTTTTCTTTTACTCTTCTTTTCCCTCAAACTTTTCCTATTTTTCTTTTCCTCTTTTCTAAAAGAAAATTTACCCGTATATCTTTGGAGCCAATTTTCAGGCACTTCTGGTCAGTTTTTGGATTTTTCTATTTCACAGAAAATTATTCCTCTCAAAAAATCCTTGAGGTTAGGCTCAAGATTCACCCAATTTGGAGTTATATCAAAGGAGTTATGACCTCTGCAAGTTCTGCCTATCCTTTCCAACGCAAATTCAATTTCCTTTAATCTTATTCCTTTATTTTCTTCATGGTTAGTTTTCTAAAATATAATTACCTATTTCACAGTAATAATTTTATAGTATTATTTTTAAAAGAGTTTTATAGTCCATGCACATTAGATTTGGGTTTATGTCTAAAGATGTTGTGATAACCGTATGGTTATGTTAATTGCAAGGTGTATTCGTGATTGAACTTTAAAAGTGCGAAGTGTTGATTGATATTCGGAATTAAGGTACGTTATGTGGTTTGATACCTTCGAAAGTTGACTATGAAATTATGTTTTAATATAGTTCTTATGAAATTATGTGCCGTATGAAATTATGTTTTACTATTACCTCCGGTTTTTTTATGTGCAACTTTTGCCATTTTAGTCCGCTCACTATTATGTGCAACTTTCTCTTTTATATCCATTTTGGGTAAAAAAAAACACTGAAAATTACTATATTACCCTTAATTAACAATTCATATTTTTAATCTTTTACCCCTTATTACCCATAACTCACACTTAACTCCATTAACCTACATTACCCTAATCTAATAACTCCCTCCATTTACTCCTTCCATCTGACACAACTCTTCATCTTCTCAACCACCTAATTCAAATCGATCTAGACTCTTCTTCTGAAGAACCCTAGATCTGGTTCCTCATCTTCATCCTTTCTTTCGCCTTTCTCCTTCCTCCTCTCTGTCGCCTTCCTCATTTCTTTCGCTAATCTCTCCGGTTTACATCATGACATCTCCCTATTCCTCACCTTTGATTCGGAAACCAGATGCCACCATTCCCCTGAATGACCTTGATCCACTAGTTGATGCCTACATTGGCACCGACGACAAAAGCGAGGCCACTCTTATAAAGTCCCTCATCAATCAACTGAACATAGGCGATTATTTTCCCCGTCGCCTATACGCGCATGAAGAAGGGCCAAGCTTATGTTCGCCGACCACTTTCAAGGCGTTAGGGGAAGTTCTGAAGAATATTGATGAGGCTGAGCAGAAAACGAAGGAGGAGGGTGTAGGCGAGTCCCGTGGCCACAAAAAGCTTGATTTTGATGTTGTTCGTGTAGATCTGGGGTCCCAAAGTGAGGATGGCAGTGCTGCGCCCCCTCCCAAGGCCCGATCTGTGCCTTCCAGGCCACCGAAGAAGATTAGGCCACGTAGGAAGGCGGCCTGGGTGGCTCTGAGCCGTATTCGGGGGTTGCCGGACCGACAATTCGTCGTGCTTTCCTCTGATGAGGAGGATGAGCACTGATCCTTGCGTAACTGTTCCTAACCCTAACTCTTTATTTTATTTTATTTTGTTTTTTAAAAATTTACCTTAATTTTTTTATTTTTGTTGTGTTGTACTGGTTTGTTGTGTTGTTTGGTTGTTGTTGGGGGAATGTTTGACTAGATCTGGTTGCATGATGGGTTTTTGGGTTTTTGGTGTTACCCTTGGTTATGTTATTTTGCTGTGTTGTTTGGTTGTTGTTGTGTACTACTGGTAATTTGATGGGTTCATGCATGTGTGGATACTATGGTTGGTTTAGTTGGGTTAATGATGTTGTATGAATTCCCTGTTCTCTTATGTTGTTGGCTTATGTATTGTGTTGTGTTGGGTGTGTGTAGGTGATTGTGTTGTTGTAGACTGCCATGGACTTAATTGGGTTGTGGTTGAGGTTGGCTGTGTTGAGTTCATTGTGCTGTTGCTGATTTGGATGTATGTTGATTTGCATGGACTATGTTGGCTTATGTATTGTGTTGTGTTGGGTGTGTGTAGGTGATTGTGTTGTTGTAGACTGCCATGGACTTAATTGGGTTGTGTTTGAGGTTGGTTGTGTTGAGTTCATTGTGTTGTTGTTGGCTGGGATGTATGATATTTGCAGAGTGGATTTGATTGATGAATGATGAGGCTGGTATCTTCTACATGTAGCATTTCTGCCTAGTCAGTCCCTTACTATGAGTCCCTTACAATGAGTCCCCTGTTAATAGGTCCTGGTTTGTTATGAGTCCCATAATATGATTTGTCATTCACCTTACCCAAATCCACATGATGAAGGGACTCCATTGAATTTGACTAAGCACAAGTGAATTGCTCCAACAACATGCATAATGCTGTTGTTGTTGAGGTATCCTTGTGCCTTAGTGTAGTATTCAACAATGACTATTAACCCCTCTGATGGATTTAATGGCCCCAACAATTGTCTGTCTTTGTCATTCATTGATACCATTTAAAATGTGGGTACAAAAGACATAACTTTGAGTAATTAAGAAAGTACATTACAAAAGAACCTACCATAATCTAAAGACTTTACAACATACTGCCTTACATGTTTTGATAATTGTACTCAACAAAATACACCTAACCACTTGGTACTTCAACATTTGAAATAAAACACAAATAAACAAACTTACATAGGTCAGTGGTTATGTGTGGCAGTACATGTGTTGTCTTTTTCTTGTATGGAGTCCCCTAATCTGCATCCACCTCCAATTCTTCTGTGACTTCTTCATTGCCCTGATTGGCTGGCCTAAACATGGTGTTTAGATACTCCACAGCCCCCACTACTACCTCCTTCTGGACTTCAACTATTTCTGGTAGAATGCCAATATTCTCAAGCTTTTTCTTGTTCATATGTGGAATCTTGTACTTGTTACCACCCTCTGCCTTCAGTATTTTAATCATGCAGTTTTGCAAAGTAACCCAAATGTACTTGTTAACCTCTGGATTGAATGTGTCATATGAGTCTTTTACCTTTTGACATAGCTCATCTAAGTCTTTAGGAAAAGACTGATATTGCAATGACTGTATAGACCTAAACAGCCCCAAATCAAGCACATTCAAATCAGGTGATTGTGCTGGCTGAAAAACAAATTGAATGTTGAAGCCATTTGTGGTAGTAGCTTCAATGAACTCTGCATCCCTTGGAACTTGGTGTGGCCTAGCATTGTCCCATTGGATTACCACATCCTTGGCCAGACTTTCTGGCCACTTTGACTTGATGGCTAGGATAACTTTTGTGAGCAACATCTCCCTGATTACTTCCCTGTTTATATTCTGTAGTGCCTTAGTTTCCAAAGTCCCTCTTGGCCTTTTCTTGCTTGATTTCTATGCTAATTGCTGCACAGTGAATGGGAAGATGCCATACTTCCCATCATGTAACATTTCTCCATCTATGCCATATAATGGCTTCCCTATAATTGCCATGAACATGGCTTTCAGCTTGAATCTTCTTGACTGAACTGCCATGTAAGGATCCTCCTCACTTGGCAGTAGATAGAACCTCCTTTTATCAGGGTTCAAGTAGAACCACTTCTCATCACAGTGAATGACATTCCTCATGTCAACAAATGTGGGGTCCTGATTTTCTGTAAATGGATTTATGTGTGACAAAATCCATCTAAGTCTGGCCACCTTATGGTCTGATGACAGTGCTGGCTTGTTGCAGGTTGTGTGTGTTCTTAGCCTTCCTCTCCTCTTCAAATTGTGAACTGTGTTGTGACTGATCTTCAGTGCTCCTGCATAGCTCCTTTCAGTCTGCCTTAAATGTAATGGGACTGATTGTAGAATTTCATCAGAAATGTCCATTGGCTTTCTCCCTGTTCTGCCAATTTTTTTAGTCCTGACATCAATCATGTCCCCTTCTGCCAGCTGTTTCTTTAAATCTGTGAATATTCTTGTTGTTGTTGATTTGTGTACGTTGAATTGAGTTGATAACTGCTTCAAGTGACCCCTAGGTAATATGCCATTGTTCATTTTCATCAATATTGCATCTACAATTTGCCTTTTCTTTTGCATTGAAAGTTGCTTCCTGCATACAATTTGTTGTTGCATTTGTTGGGGTTGTTGCATTTGTTGTGGCTGCTCCTGCATTTGTTGTGGTTGCTCCTGCATTTGTTGTGGTTGTTGTTGCATGTGTGAGCCATCAACCCCCAAAAGCCTGCATCTTGCATTTCTTCTTCTTCTTCTAACCACAACTCTGCTAGCTCTTCTTCATTTAGTATGTGTTCGACATCGAAAAAAACAGAATCACCATACTCTGCCATGTGTTTGTGTTAATCAGCACAGGGAGATGATGATGAGGGGCCTGCTGTTTTTTGCTGGGGTGAAGATGAAGATGAAGATGACCCAGATGTGCTTCAATGACAGCAGAGCTGCCTTTTTTTGTAAATGTTTGAACAGAGTACTTAGTTTGTAATTAACCTAACCGTAGGGGTGAAATAGAGTTCTGTAATTTTTTGGGAGGAAACTCTGTTTTTTGCTCTAACATTAATGGATGTAATGAATTAATGTGCAACAGTGGAGGCTGCCTTTATAGCCTCGTTTAATGTTATGATTTTGGGGGCAAAATCGAAATGGAGGCTGATTTTATAGCCTCCAGTGAAATTTAAAAAAAATTCAGTTTGCCTGCCAGATTTTGTTGAAAAATTGGGGGGAAAAAAATTGAGCACCAAATTTTGGGTTTGAAATGTTTGGCAGATTTAATTGAGTGGGAAAATTTGGCTTTGTACTTTTGGCCAGATTTTCCCACCAAAATACTATGTGGGTGGCCACACTTTCTCTCTCCTTCTCCTTTAATTAAACCCACTCACTTTTATTAATCTTTGCCCATCAATCTTTTGCTTCGTGAACCGTGAAATGCTTGAAAGTTGCACATAAAAAAAAATCGGAGGTAGTATATGAAATTGTGTTTTATGATGGCATGAAATTAATGATTTTTGTTAATCAAAGGGGCTTTGAATTGCGATTAAAATTAGTAAAAGGATTGGATTAAAAATGATTTACATGTTTATTAATGTCCAAGTATAACGGATTTTTTTAAAAGGTGCTTTTAAGCAATCAATCGATATGGTTATGAATCCCACTTAGGGAATGGATTAGAGAAGGCTATGGACTTTGCATGACCTAGCCTTTCCTCAAGATTGGCCTTTGTTCATAAAGTGAACTACTTGGGGGTGTGCACACTTAGTGAGGAAATGGTTTTGGAACGTAATCGATTGAGTTTTAAACTTGTCTTGAAAGCATTGAATTGGAAAAGCTCTTACATGAGTATGGCATTGGAATTCTTTGAATTAAACTTAAATGATTTAAATTATGTTTTACTTATCTTACACATAATCTACTTAGCATAATTTGCTAATACGTGCTTTTGTTTTGGCTTTGCCCTGTTTACCATTTATGGTAAGCAGGTGAATGTTTAAGGTGGAAGTTGATTGATGCATACGGGAGTCCACGTGAATTTCATCTAGGTTAGGAAAAGTTGGAGTCGTTTTTGTGTCACAAATTATGAACAAGTTTTATTTAAAGTTTTATTAATAAGAATAAAGAATTTTCCGCTGCAAAAGTATTTTTAAAGTATAAGCCTTGCGTTATCACGCGGCGGTAATACGTCCAAGTCTATCTCTACGGTATTTATACGTATTTTCTGCATATTCCGTAGAGGGAGATTTGGGGGTGTTACATTTCATATGGTCCAATATACTTTGGGCTAAGCTTTCCTTTCTTTCTGAATCTCATTACACCTTTCATTGGTGACACCTTTAATAAAACTTTTTCACCAACTTCAAATTCTTCTTCCCTACGCTTTAAATCCGCGTAGCTCTTTTGGCGATCTTGCGCCGCTTGAATCTTACCTTGAATCTCCTTTACTTGATTTACTGTATCCTCGATCATTTGAGGCCCTAAAATCATTGTTTCACTTATGTCGTTCCAACAGACTCGACTGCGACACTTCCTTCCATATAATGTCTCAAATGGAGCCATGCCAATGCTTGCATGGTAGCTATTATGATAGGAAAATTCAATTAAGTCCAAGCTATCTTCCCATCTCCCTTGGAAATCTATAAAACAAGCCCTCAACTTGTCTTCCAAGGTTTAAATGGTTCTCTCAGTTTTCCCATCTGTGGCAGGGTGAAATATATAAGGGAGGCATCCGGTAAGAACCCCTCCTTATATAAGAACCCAATCTTATAAGAACCCTTCTTTATGTTCTAAACTTTTTCTGCTTATGTTCTAAAGTTTTCCTATGTTCTAAATTTTTTCTGCTTATGTTCTAAATTATTTCATATATTCTAAATTATTTTTTCAGCTTATGTTCAATTTTTTTTTTCCTATATTTTATATTATTTTTTCAGCTTATGTTCTAAATTTTTTCCTATAATCTAAATTATTTTTTCAGCTTATGTCCTAAATTTTTTCCTATGTTCTAAATTATTTTTCATATGTTCTAAATGTTTGTTTGTTTATGTTCTAAATTTTTCCTATGTTCTAAATTTATTTTCCTATATTCTATATTATTTTTTCAGCTTTTGTTCTAAAAATTTTCCTATGTTCTAAATTATTTTTTCAGCTTTGTTATAAATTCTTTCCTATGTTCTAAATTATTTTTTCAGCTTATATTTTAAATTTTTTCCTATGTTCGAAATTATTTTTTTAGTTTATGTTCTAAATTTTTTCCTATGTTCTAAATTATTTTTCATATGTTCTAAATGTTTGTTTGTTTATGTTCTAAATTTTTCCTATGTTCTAAATTTTTTTTCCTATATTCTATATTATTTTTTCAGGTTATGTTCTAAATTTTTCCTATGCTCTAAATTATTTTTTCCCCTTATGTTCTAAATTTTTTCAATGTTCTAAATTATTTTTCCTATGTTCTAAATGTTTGTTTGCTTATGTTCTAAATTTTTCCTATGTTCTAAATTTTTTTCTTATATTCTAAATTTTTTCTTATGTTCTAAATTTTTTTCCAACGTTCTAAATTTTTTCCTATATTCTAATTTTTTTTCTTGTGTTCTATATTATTTATTATGTTATAAAATTTTTCTACCTATATTCTAAATTTTTTTCCTATGTTCTACAAAAGAACCTACGTGGGATTCGAACCCACATCTTATGTGCATTTGCACAATGCTCTCCCGTTGAGCTTGTAGGCTAATGTATATAAAAGCTTTAAACTACCAAAATTACTAAAAACTAAAAAAAAATCTCAAAAGTAAATTATGCATAAGCAGGACAAAGAAATAAAAATGACTAGCTGAACATATGCAATGATATTTTAGAACACATGCAATAAAAGTTTGAACAACATACCAATAATAATCGAAAAAATTGATTATATTCTTTAGAACATAGTAAGATAACTTTAGAACATAGATTGAAAAACTTTTGAACATATAAAGAAACTTTAGAACATAAGTATTTAATCCACAATTGCTTTGTTCTACATAATTTAAACATACTAAACTAATTTACAATTCACATAATTCATTTAGAAATTCTGAAATTACATAATCAGCTGCAAAACACAACAGTCAGATCACATTTTGCATGGATCTACAATAAATCATGGAAAATTGAAAAAAAAAATTACAAAAATTAATTGAAAATAAAACTGATAAAATGAAGCAAAAAAATAGCATATTATCGAACACATACTATTCAGATAATTAAAAAAAAAATCGAACACAAGGGTAGCAAAATAATTGCAAATAATCGAAATTTAAATACATCAACCGTGAGAAGAAAAAAAAAAGAAAGAAATAAACTGATAGGATGAACAGCCATATAATCGAACACACCCTTCTTAAAAAGTTCTCCATTATGGATTTCAAAATTTGCCGCACGTTTTTTCATTGCAACCTCGGGTATGCATCCGGTTAAGTGTCGTCCGTCAAGTAGGCCTGGATGTTGTCCATCCAGGTTGAGCTTTGATCTAGTACTCCAATGGGATTTTCTTCAATACTTCTTTTTTCCATAACTTCCTAAAAGACTGACTGCGGTGTATCACAAGAGGCGGAGGATGCCAGCTTAGAGAGAGCATCCCCCTGATTATTCTTTGACCTGGGCACTTGACTTAGATGAAATTCATCAAGTGTCCCAACCTCTTCTTTGACCACCTACAAATATTTGACCATGGCCGGATGGGTGGCTTCATAGTCACCATGGTACTGGCTAACGGTCAATTGCAAATCAGAACAAGCGGCAATCTTTCTCGCCCCAGCCGCCTTACATTGCGGATGCCGGCTAGTAGGGCTTCATATCCGCCTCATTATTTGAGGCCTGAAACTTGAACTGTAGTGCATATTCGTACTTTTCCCCTATAGGGAACTAACATATGACGCCCGCACCACAGCCGTTCATAGTAGAGCTCCTGTCCACATATACTTTCCAGATCTGATCAAGGTTCTCCGGATCAGCCAGCCTTGTCATTTCGACAATGAAGTCGACAAACGCCTATCCCTTCACTGCCTTTCTTGGTTCGAAAGTGATTTCAAGACTTTGAATTTCAATAACCCATTTGATCATTCGGCCGGATGATTCCATGGTTGTCATTAGGCGCTTGATAGGTTGGTCTGTGTATACCACAATCGGATGTGCCAAGAAGTAAGGTTTTAACTTCTTGACTGCCATGAAAAGAGCAAGGCCAAACTTTTCAACCATGGGGTACTGTAGTTCAGCATTTCGAAGGACATGGCTGATGAAATAGACCGGGAGCTGGGTGTCATCTCTTTCAGCAAGGAGAACAACATTGAGAGCATGATTTGAGATGGCTAAGTACATGTATAACACTTCCTTTGGTGAAGGGCTGACAAGCCTTGGCGAAGAGTGCAAGTGTTCTTTAAATTATTGAAAGGCCGCCTCAGCATCTGCCCCCCCATTCAAACATAGTCTTCTTTTTTATAGTTTGGAAAAAATAGAGGCACTTGTCACCTGACCGGCTGAGGAATCTCCCCAATGACGCTAGACAACCTGTTAACTTCTAAACTTATTTGACAGTGCAGGGCGACTTCATGTCTATGACCGCCTGTATCTTCTCTAGGTTGGCTTCTATCCCCCTTTGGTCAATCAAAAATTCGAGAAACTTCCCAGACTCAACACCAAAGACACACTTGTTGGGATTGAGCATGACCTTGTGC